CGATGCACCAGAGCACAGCAGAGTGAGCGGAACAGCAGGGTGGGGAGCAGAGCTCAGCACTGGAGCTGGATCTGTCCCTCCCTGCCCCAGTCCTGCCCTGCATGTGTCTGGCATGCTCTTCACCCAACCCAAGGACCCCTCAGCACCAGCTGGGCCCCTCTGGGACCGTCCTTGAAGTGCTCTGCAGAGTCTTGGGCTGGTGTCTGCAGGCACATGTCCTCTGCCAGCACGAAGCATACCAGCTGCCGACCCCCGGCACAGGCTGGCACATCTCTCACTCACTCCAGAGACACATGAAGGCCCTAGCGGGTCTTTTGGGGAGGCAAGACCAAGAGGGAACAGCAGGTACAGGGACAACTGCCAAGCGCGGGGTTCTGCTGAGATGCAGGGCCATTGCAGCGCCTGTCGGCTGGTCCAAGCCCTGCTGCTGCCAGCATGGCCCCAGCTCTGCTCAACCTGGGGACAACAGTCCCTGCGTGGGTCCTTGAACCTGCCACCTGATAAGGGTGGTTAATGATCAGCGGTGGGAGGGCAGCACCAGGCTGGAGCAGGACTGGGCTGCTCCCAGGGCAGGCTGCCACTCCAGGGGCATGGTCCTGGGGTCATGGGCTCACAAACCAGCTAGGGGACATGCATCAGCATCAGCCCCACTCTGGGCTCTGCCAGCCACAGCTCCCCTCTCCTTGGCCACACCTGAGAGTGCCATGCCTGCCTCCCCACTGGGGAGCGCCATGACCCCCAAGTGCATCCCTTGGGGGCAGCCGGGCACCCCTTTGCAAGTGGATCTGCACAGGGCCACGTCCAAGGGGAGCATTCCATCCCACCCAGGCACCACCAGAGCCCCTGTGGAGCAGGACCAAGCCCGGGGGGCTGCAGAGGACCTAGCAGGGAAGCCCTGGTCCCCATTCCACGTGGCTGCGGGGATGCACGTGGTACAATCTCCCTTGGTGACTGACTGCATCGCAGCCTGCGCCCGGATTCAGTTGGATTCGTCACCGCGGGGAGACGTTCCTCATGCGTGGTGGCAGGAGGAGGGGGAGGGAGGGAGCGACGGCCGCCCTGGTGCCTCAGGCAGCTTGCTGGGTGAACACGCTGCTCTGGGCCATGGGCAGCTGTGGCCTGGGCTGAAGCCTGCCCACCGGTGTCTGCTGGCAGCCGGGACCCGGCATGGAGCAGGCCTGGGAGAGCAGGGCCGAGAGAAGACATAGCTGCTGGGATCTGGGGAAAGGCACCTCTGGAGCATACAGGCATCTGTCCACAAAGCCAGGTCACACTCAGAGCCCCACGGGCAGGAGGGAAGAACAGGGAGCTCCCGTGCCCGCTCCCCGAGGCCCCACTGCCCTGCGACAGCCCCTTCTCCAAACAGCAGTGCCCAGGGCTCCGCAATGCCCGAGAGGCCAGATCCTGCACCCTCCTCCTGGCCGGTCAGAGCCCCAGTGCACTGGAAGATGCTGCCTGGCTCACGGCCAACCAAGCCCATCAGTTGCTTCATCCAACATATGAGGAAGTGTTGACATAAGAAAACAAACACCTCTGCCTACCCCTCCTCTGCCTACCT